TCGAAAGCCTGAAGAGACAACTATTACTCCCGTTGTTTAGTTCTGAATAAATTCCTTTAAATTTAAGAAAATATACTGATTTTACATATTTTGAATTTGTTACACATAGACGTACTTAGGTTTATAATTCACGGAAACAGCTTGTCGGACTACAAATAATTTTTCATAATAACCAACTATTTTCGATCAAATGTTAAGAAAAATGAGGAGGCTGTCTTTCAAACTGACAACGAATAGACCACTTGTTGGGCAGAAGAAGAAGCCAGATTTTATTATAATAGGGCCAGAAACGGTATCAATGTTGGGCTAAAGACCATCGAACGAGACACTAAAGCAGAAATGATACAGGCAGCCACTTTAAAGAACTGTTATTTAAAAATTAGTCAGTGCGTCCTGAATTTCGATTTTTTCAGTTTAATTTTTCAGGATAAAAATGTCTTAATTGTCCTGAAGTTAAGATTTTTAGTTTAAAATTTTAGGACAAAATAATTACTGGCTAATCACTAAATAGCATCCATGAGAATGGCTATTTGTGCACTTGCCCGGACACTAAACAATATTGACCATCAAACTAAGGGAGATTTTTAAAAATAGCCAGATTTACAATCGGTCGTTCAAAAATAGCCCAATTTCAAAAGTAATGAAAATTTAGCCACTTTTTATGTAAAGATAAATCCAGCATAAGTATACTTGAACTCCAGCATATTATACTGGAGTTCCAGGATAGTATGTTGGAACTCCAGCATAATATGATAGAGTTCCAGTATAAGTACACTAGAACTCCAGCATAACATACTGGAGTTCCAGCAAGTATAATTGTCCAGTATAATATACTGGAGTTTGGAGCACCAGTGCTCCAGTCTCCAGTATATTATACTGGAGCCAGCAAAGTATACTGGTCCAGCATAATATGCTGGAGTTCATACATAAGTGCACCGAACTCCAGTATATTATGCTGGACCGGTCTCTATTGCAGCAAAACGGTGGCTATTTTTCATTGACTTGGTAAACGCTGGCTATTTTTAATTGACCAGTCCGAAAACTGGCTATACCGTGCTGTTTTTACTCAAACTAACTGGAAATTATTGTGACGACCCAAAGGGGTCATCACCTGTATTCCTACTCACTCTGTATTTCTGAGGCCGTGAAAACCTCACTTGGGGGTTGCCTCGAATTTTGTGTGCGCAGTCCGGGCGCGTAGCCGGAACGTTTAAGTATGAAATTTTGAGGAAGATAATAAAATTTTGATGTTTTAATTGATTAAGTTTGACTTCGGTCAACGTTTTGGGCGAACGGACCCGGACTTGTGATTCGACAGTCCCGGAGGGTCCGTAGGAAATTTTGGGACTTGGGTGTGTGCCCGGAATCAAATTCTGAGGTCTCAAGTCCGAGAAACGAATTGTTATTTGAAATTGTTTTCTGAAAATAATTAAAGAATTGGAAAGTGTTATTTGTTTAGAAGACTGTGCTGTTGGGCTCGTATTTTGGTTCCGACGCCCGGCACAAGTCTTAAATATGAGTTAAGCAATTGCTGTGAAGTTTGGTTAGATTCGGACGTCATTTGACGTGTTTTGAGCTAGAAGCAGTAGAATTTGATGTTTCATGAAAATTGGAAGGAAATCATGGGTCTTGAGGCCTAATTCGATGTTGTTTTGGCGATTTGATCGCACGGATGAGTCCGTAGGATGTTTTTGGATTATGTGTATGTTTGGTTTGGAGCCCCGAGGGCTCGGGTGAGTTTTGAGTGGGTCCCGGGAGGGTCTTAGACTTAAAAGTATCAGAAATTTGCAGGTCTAGGTGTTGCAGGCCCCCAGCGCGGCCGCGGTCATTTCCGCGCGGTCCGCGCTGGAAGCCGCGCGGCCGCGGTGCATTTCTGCGCGGTCCGCGTGGCTAAGTTCAGAGGGCCAGTGAATTCCAGTTCGACCAGCGCGGCCGCGTGCCATATCAGCGCGGTCCGCGTGCCATATCAGCGCGGTCCGCTCTAGAAGATTCAAAGAGGGGTCTTGGGTCCATTCAACCAGTGCGGCCGCGCACCAAATTAGTGCGGTCCGCGCTGGGTAGGTTCAGGAGTCGTTTTCCCTCCCTTCCTCGGCGCGGCCGCGGGGCATTTTTGTGCGGTCCGCGCCAGATCTCCAGTACAGTATATAAAGTCGGGATTTTCAATCATTTTTCACTTTTTCAAAATCCAAAACATAAGTGGCGATTTTCCAAACGATTCTTCTTCTTCAAAACGATTGGTAAGTGATTTCCAACTTATTTTCTTTACTCCTTAACATTTTTAAACATAATGTCAACTTCAAAACAAAGATTTTAATGGGGGAATTTGGGAATTTAGGATAGAACTAGGGTTCCTAAATTTGGGGGTTTTGGACCTCAATTTGAGGTCCGATTCCAAAATAACTCGCATATCTGAGTTCATGGGGGAATGGATAATCGGGTTTTGGTTCGAACCTCGGGTTTTCCACGTGGGCCCGTGGGCATTTTGGGAATTTTTGAGGAAAACTTTGGGAAATTCATTTTCATGCATTCAAATTGCTTCGATTAGCAGTTGTTGATACATTAAATTCGAAGGGTAAAGCGATACTAGAGGCTTGAGTTGAGTTTGGAGCATTCGAGGTAAGTGTTTGATCTAACTTTGGCTTGAGGGAATAAGATTAGAGTATTATTTGCTAATTGCTAAGTGTTGAGTACGGTGTATAGGCATGGTGACGAGTATCTATACACCGGTGTCTAGCCTGACCGTGGGTCTTTATTTGCGCTTAATTGGAATTCTGTAGTGACTCTTCCTTGTTAATTGGTGGTTTCTATATGATATGAAGAGTACGAGGACTAATTTTGAATTGTAAATTCTTTGGAGCGTTGGCTCGAACATTAAAAAGACCATTGAGTAAGAAATGAAAGAAATAGAAAGTGATATGATTAATCCCTTGCCGGGATGGTTTGAGTATATTGATTATCTCCCTTGCCGGGATGTGAAAGTATTGTTGTAATTCCCTTGCCGGGACATTTCTTATTATTTATTTATCCCCTCGCCCCGTTTGATTGTGATTACTGTTTGGGGTGAGAAAGAGTGATAATGCACGAAGGCTCATTCCGTGCCATGTTTTGATTATTTATGCACGAAGGGTCATTCCGTGCCATGTTTTGATTATTTATGCACGAAGGGACATTCCGTGCTCTGATTTGATTATAATTGCACGAAGGATCATTCCGTGCCATGATAGGAGAGTTATGTGAGGGAAAACACGAAAGGTGATGCCGTGCCCTTTATTTGATTGCTTTTGGTGAGAATGAGAGTAAAAGCACGAAGGTTGATGCCCTGCACTTGTTGATTTTCCTGCTCTCATTAATTATTGTTATTGCCCTGTTTCTTACTTAAATTGTTGACTTTATATCCGGACTGTACTCCCCCATAGTATGCTTCCCTCCTTCTTAACTGTTTAATTCCTGTATTCTTCCCTTTTATTGCATATATATATATATATATATATATATATATATATTGAACTGCACAGGTTGGTTTGGTAGTCCTGTCTAGCCTCGTCACTACTTCGCCGGGGTTAGGCCAGGCACTTACCAGCACATGGGGTTGGTTGTGCTGATGCTACACTTCTGTGCTCTTTTGCACAGATCACGGCACCGGAGTAGCTTTTGGACCACAACAGTAGGATATTGATCGGGAGCTGACTTCAGTCCAGGGACTTACGAGGTAGCCTAGCTGGCGTTCGCAGGCCAGAGTCCCTTTCTATGTTTTCAGTTTGTTTCATTGTACCGAGACAAACACTTATGTATTTCCATTCAGACTTGTTTGTAGCACTCTTTAGTAGTTCGTGAGATAGCGACCCCGGTCTTGGGTAGAGAAATGTTAAACTTCCGCTTTAATTTAAATGACTCGTTATATTCATATTGTTCTTGTTGAGGTGAAATCAGGGAATGTTTAAAAGGCTTGGCTTGCCTAGCTCCGATGGTAGGCGCCATCACGACCCCCGATGGTGGAAAATCCGGGTCGTGACAATTATGCCGAGTGGACTTTGTTAGAACCACAGTTTATATTTTAACGCTATTAACATTAAAAAAACAACAACAAACTAAACTTTTCTACAAACTTCGTTGATTATCTGTCGTTAAATTGCTCATAGCTAAAAGAATTTTTTTAATAATATATTGCTAATCCGTCGCTAATAGGATTAGCAACGAAATTTTCTATTTAGTTACGAAATTTTTCCATCGCAAATTCCTATATTTAGTAGTGTAAGAAAAGTTATGATAAATTGACCCTGCGCGAGTTTTATAATTCGATGCTAGAGCTTTGAAGCATGTTGCCAGAATTTTCAGTTCTAGCAGCGTGCTTCAAAATTTAATGGTATGTTGTAAAATTCTGGTAGCATACTTTAAAATTCTGTTAGTGGGACTATTTTTATTTAAAAAATTTAATGGGATCAAAATATAAATGGTGGCACTAAATAATACTGCAAATCTTCCTCAACTAATTACTTATTGGGCAACAGAATTTGGCACCAAATAAGAAGGAAGGATTAATTTAAATAGTCGCCTAACTAAGATAGCCGACGGATGTATAATATATATATAATCGGATATAACCAGTGTATAATTCATAAATACCAGTTAAGAAAATAAATAGTGAATCCGATGGGCTACTTATGTAATGATGCGGAAAAAACACTTTTTGCCTATTGGAATTTGCCGATCCACACTTCTCTACGAAAGGAACAGAAAAGAAGAGGAACGAAAATTAGCAAAAAAAAAAAATTGGTTCATTTTGACATTTTCAAGTGGTTTAAAATTTTGGGATTGAAGATATTACAAATTTCCTCTATTATTATTGTTGTTGTTATTGTTGTTGTTGTTGTTGTTATTTCGTTTTATGATCAGCTGGCCAAACTCGACTTTCACATATTATTACTAACAGAAAAGCTTTTGAAAAACAATTTACTTCTGGAATTTTGATTACGTACGAAGAAGCAAAAGAAGAAGTTCGATCACTGATTAAACTTCCTGTTCTTTCATTGATTGAAAGGGAAACATTTGTTGTCTACAAATTTCGAAAAATCGTCGGCTTTATAACCAGCCAACATTAGAACTATACATAAGTAGCAGAAAAGAGTGTCCCCGATTCAAGAGATTCTACCACTAGTTAAATTGTAAAAAGTTTCCTGTCTAACTAGTCTACAATTCACTTGTATATATTAACATGTTCTAAACACGTTAATATGATACATGGAATTCTTTCCAAATACTAGCCTTGAAAACAGTCATTAATACTTGCATTAGAATAGGCGCGCACACTCCTTGTGGTGTGACCTTCCCCGGACCCTACTTGAACGCAGCTGTATTCAAATTTTATATAATCTAACATTTATGAGAAAAAACATCTTCCAAGACTTCATGAACCAAATCGTTGAACACTTGAAAGTCCAAGTCCAAGCTCAACTCTTGTTTTTCTTCTTCAAACTTGTTCCACCTTGCTTCTCTTTCCATGTCTCTTATGTAGGATTCTCTTTTATCCTCAAACTCCCATTCAAATTCCCCATTGTAATTACCATTGATCCAAGATTTTGCTTCTCTCATTAACTTTTCATCACTCTCACCATCATTGTTTTGATGCTTTCTAGTTGTACACAATTCATGCCAAAAGAAATCAAAGAGAAGCTCATCCACATAGTTTGCTTCACAATCTTCAATTAGTTCCAAGTGAATTGTCTCTTTCAAATTGCTCAATAATTGCTTTGCCTTTTCTTCAATTTCTCGAATTTCTTCCTCTTGTTGTTGTTGTTGTTGTTCTTCTTCTTCAAAGCTGGTGTTTCCTTCGGCAAGACTCTCAAACTGTTGAATTTTTTGCATGAACATGCTTGTTCTTTCTGTAATGGATGAGATAAAATTGTTGTTACTTCATGTGATTTATATTCCATGATATAAACCAAATAAATTAAACATGACATGGTGGACACAATCAGAGAAACAATGCATTCTTGAAGTGCAGAATTTTTTTTCTTAATAAATCAGAACTTGTAAATTAATTAGGTGTGTCGGTCTAAGAATAAATTATACTACTTTACACTATCGCTACAATTTAATTAACTGGCTATAATAGTTATTACTCTATTTTTCAGGTTATAATCTTATTAGGCTTATTGTTATGAAAAGTTACCTCTTATGGTAGGTTAATTTAACTCAATGGTATATGTTTCTGTAAATGTACAGACCTTATATATAGTACCACTCAATATAATAAAAGACTACCCATTTCTAAAGTAACTGTGACAGTTATTACTGGTGACTAATTTAAACTATTATATAGTATGTTTCTTTCTCCATTTTTTTATCCCACATCAAAATGAAGGTAATTAATTAGAAGTAAATTAAGGTAATTGGAGGTTGAAACTTACTGTCTAAATTAGCAAGGTTTCGGTGGAAAGAGAAGGCAATTCCTTCTTCATCGTCTTCTTGAAATGGAGATTCAAGAACTGAAACTGGGCTGTGTTGCTCATTCTCATCAAAGCACAACTCTTCCTGATAAATTAAAGAATACCGTCGTTAAATGATTTTTTAAAAAAAATAAAACATTGGAGAGGAAAATGTATTGATAGATAAAATAAATGAAAACTTTTATTTGGTCATGAATCATGATATTGTTATGCTAGTTGTATTTAATAAAGTGTAGCCGGAAAACATTATAGAGACCATGTCAGTCTCTAGACAAGGCTCTATACCAAAAAATGACAAAAAAGAGTAATTAACTTGTATATTTTTCTATAGATACGTATCCAAAGTTGCATGCAAGATTATGGTTCAATAGTAGCAATAAACAAATAAAAAAAATATTCACCTTACGGTCCCTTTTGATTGCTCTTGTGGTTCCCATGCTATACCCACCGACAGTTTCCTCGAATATATTCTTTCTACCAACCTTCTTCATCCCATCTTCTAATTCACCCAAAAATTCACCATTTTCACCCCACCATGACGGTAAATCCTCCGCAGTAAAATCACTATCACACCAACTAGTTTTCTTGCTGCTTGTGGTGGTTGTGGAGTTAGTTGTGGCGGTGGTGGTGCATCTATTTGGTGAATATGGTGTAGATTTCTCATCTACCAAGTCTCTAAATGATTTCCATCGTAGGATGTCTTTGACTTTGACGGTGACAGAGACATCTTGGTTACTACTATGCTTTTTAATATTGTCCCTGTGGTTGGTTCTTCTTGATAGTTTTCTTGAAATGCTTCGCGTAAAAATGGAAGGATATTTGACAGAGGCAAAGGGTAAGAACTTAACAATGTTAATGACCTTGTTAATGGCAGAAATTGTAGCAGTAGCAGCTCTAGATGATCTACTTCTAAGTAATTGATGAGATGAAGCTTTGTTTGACCTAATTCCTGAACCATGAAAATTTGAAATTGTGGACTTGCATAATTTTCGAGGGTGTGACCCAATATCATTATATGAACAAGAATATGGATCGTCTTGAAGAAGAAAATCTTTAAGCAATTTGGGTCTACGCTCAATTGACAATCTTGCAAGTGGACTAGGAGAAGCCATGGCCAAAACTTTAATTTGTCAAAGAATATGGTTTGCCTTTCTTTCTCTTAATTTGTTTGTTTTGGTAGGGTTGAGTTGAAGGAAAGAGTGAAGTTATGTGGATATATATAAGAGGAGTGAGAAAGTAAAAGATCTCTTGTAGCTTTAGTGAGGTCAGAAATCTCGTCACCGATATTTCAACAAAGGTTTAGGGTTTAGGGTTTAACTGATCATCCTTCACGACCTATTATTACAAGAAATTCGGTCAAAATCGATCACGTTCGATCAATCAATTTCGATTGGTCAAAAAATCAGTCGAAAAATCGATCGAAATCAATTTTTCAAAATATTTTTTTATGAAACCGACCAACTTTGGTTGGTTTTTTTTTGGCGGAAAATGCGGAAAACTATTTTTGCGTCCTGCGAAATTTATTTTTCAAGAAATCAACCATCTTTAGTAGGATTTTCATTTAAAATAAATTAAAATTAATATTCAAAAAACCAACTGAAAGCGGTTGGTTAATTCGACCGATCATTTTAAAAATCGACCGATTTCGGTCGGTAATTTTATTTTTTTAATAAAATCGACCGACATCAGTCGGTTATTTTAGTGCGAAAATGCAATTAAAGAGTATAAATAAAATAAACGACAGTCTTAAAAATAAATGCACCAATGGTCTAGTGATAGAATAGTATCCTGCCACAGTACAGACCCTGGTTTGATTCCGAAGATGGTGTATTTTTTAATTACATAATTAAAATACTGGCCGCGAGACTTCGATCGGTTTTTTCAACAATTTTCTTTTTTGGAATTTAATTGACCGACCGAAATCGGTCGACTGGCACCACCGACCATACGATTACCGATTGACATGGATCGATCGGTTTTCGATCGATTTTTGCCAATTACCGATCAACATCAGTCGATTTTCTCCGTTTTTTTTTAGTAGAGTATAACTCTGTCACTCTTAATAGCTAGCGTTTTACTTCCCTAACCACCAAAAGGTGATGAGATGATCGGTATTTTTCTACATTAGTCAGAGGTTTTAGATTTAGTAAAATCGAATAACAAAAAAGAAATTTCGATGGGGAGCGTTTTTATTCACTTTTATCGATTGTGAATCTAAATTAATTATATTAGTGAAGTTCAAAAGTAGTATCTATTGAAAAAGAAAAAGGAAGAATAAAGAAAATAAAAGAGAATGAGAGAGGTAGGTACCAAAGGTGAGAGAACCGATGCAATGGATCGAATGAAGGGAAAGAAGACAAAGCACACGTAGAAGCATGGATGCTTCTAACTAGAGTTTTCTTTATAAATAAGTGATAAGTACTATATTTTAAGATGCATTCATAGGATCATAATTTAGTAGTAACAATTTAGGAACACAGAATTAATGTGATAATATTAATTTGGTGGTTGAGGGATGTCGGAGATGAGCCAAAAGAAGCCGAGATTTGACTGACTCTGTTACTTACAGACCATTTCTGCAGAGCTGTTCTTGTCCGCTAGCGGTTGTTCATCACATGCAAAACCACCGAAATTGCTACGTGCCTGCACTATCAACAAAATATTGGTCTTCAATTACTACCACAATTTAAGAGATTCCAAACTCTTCTAACAGTTACTAACGTGCATCTACATAATATATAATACTGATAATACAACAACAACAAACCACATGTTGGGGTCCAGGGAAGGGTAGTACGTACGCAAATTTTATCCCTACTTTGAAAAGACAAAAATTATACTGATACTATAAAAAAAAAATTACACATATCATTATGTATAATTCAAATTTTATTAAGCTTCTTTACACAATCAGTTCATATAGAAGGTATTTATTTATAACTTTGTTTATTAAGTATTGATTGAAAACCTATAATAAATGATAACTAATATGTCGTAAAAGGTGAAATTATACCAATAATGTAATATTTTCTTGGTACAATTTGTTCATAATGAATAACGTAGTTTGTATGATAATAATATTGTATATTGAGTGATTGAGTGATTTTGGTATTTTTAAAAATTAAAGATTTCTTTAATGTATTGAAACGTGGTAATATAAAATTTCTGAATAATTATTATATCCCATAATGGGATATATTATTTTGAAGACATGTTAGTGAAATTGTCAAAATGGAATATCATGTCAATACAAATCTTAATCTTTTAATTATTGGCACAAAAACTTTTTACTTTAAATAATTTTTACCCTCTCGTTATACAATATTAATCTTGATAGAATAACTCGTTATCCAAAAGTTGGGACAACATTCAAATACAGTTTCAGTTTTATGTGTCTGATATATGTAGTGTAATGCATTTCTACTACTTCGCATCTTTTCATGTTTACTATAAATAATACTAGCAACTATGATATGGTACTTTAAAACTATCTGTACAATCGGATAAACATTACACCGTGATCAATATGCATAATTAAACTTAGTGGAATATATTAGACATAAGGAACTTAATGATGTGGAGAACCTTCAATTTGTCTAAGATATTTGTCGGCTTGTTAAGTTAGTACATGACATTGCTTGACATGTTAATAACAAATCTTGCACAATCAATGCAGGATTCTGTTAGCAGATTAATTAATCTGCTGCTAATTTGTTTTAAGAAGTGAAAAATGTGCCACCATAAACAAGGATGACTTGTTTGACTTTGTTAACTTTCATGCTGCTTTGTCCTTTACCAATAAATTGAAAATAAAATAAAATGAAAGGCATAAATAAGATAGGAGAGGCAAAAACTATTTGGAGTTTGGAGGGTAGTGAATTGAGAAAATGTGAAGAAGCATGGAGGGCCTTCCCTTCATGTTGGATGCAAAAAAAAAAAATTAAAAATAACTGCATGCATGGACTTAAACAATTTTGTATTTAAAAAAACAATTTTGTATTGTTTGCAAATTAATTAGAGGGCGAAAAATTGATATTGAATTGAACTTGTCTCCTTCTACTCCTACAAATAATGGAGATTTGAGTAAAGTGGCAAATCGTCATAGGCTTAGTATTTAGGTTCCTGCTTCTCTGCACCAATTAAGGCATCCAATGTTGGTTTTACCTTAGCCCCTACGTACATACGGTGTTGATTTCTTTCCCTTTTTTTTATTAAGTGGTAAACCTTCATACCGTTCGAATAGTTATTGACCAGTTGCTACTATAAATAATCAAATAACACGACTATTGTGCAATATGTGTACGCGTGGTTCTTATCCTAGATCGATTAGTTTACACATAACCATCGCCATTTTTATGAACTTATGGTGAATAATATTTACACCTCAGATCACTTAGTAAATAATTATTAATAAATTTTCTAATAAGTATTAATTGACAATTTGATAAAAATATTACTAATATGCTAATTCCTATCATTCGCTAAAATTATTGTGTAAAAATCATGTAACTTAATTCCTTTTAAAATAACGACAGTCGACAAGGTTATAAAGCGTCCATTAAGCTTGATAACACTTAAATCCAATTTTAAAGGAGGTAAATCATTTACATCCCCAAATTTACTTTGCAAGTCAAACTCATCCTCCAACTTTATTTTTTATTTAATTTATATTTATTATATGGATTTACCTATAGAAAAATAAATATTAGTTTTGAATAAAAAAGAGAGAATGAAGTAGTAATCAAGCTTAATGGCGTTCGATAATAGAAAAATAAAAATTACAATAAATAATTTGTCTGTATTAGTAATTTTACTAATAGGATCAATACACTACTAGAATTCCGGAAAAAAACGATCAAACTTTAGTGACCAAAGTTGGTCTGTCAAGAAAAGCGACCAACGTTGGTCTCTAAATTGGAGAAAATAATAAAATAATTATTTTAAATACATTAGCGACCAAAGTTGGTCGCTATTTGGTTAATAATTTCGTCAAAAATTGACGACTGGCAGACTTGCTTGGTCAAAGAAATACTGAGAATTAGCGACCAACGTTGGTCGCTATTTTGGGACCCACTTATTAAATTTTAATAATTATATTATTATTTAAAAAAATTATAAAATATAAATAAATATAATTCAAAGTTAGCGACCAAAGTTGGTCGCTTTAAAATAGAGACAACTTTGGTCGCTAATATGGGACCCGTTTAATTATATTATTATTTTAAATATTATATAAAATATAAATAAATCTGATTTAAATTTAGCGACCAGCTTTGGTCGCTAATTTAAATTTAAGTATAATTAGCGACCAAAGTTGGTCTCTTTTCAGGTCAACAATGGTCAAAATTAAAAATTACTTTTGTATTTACTATCTAAATAATATAAATGTAAGCCGTTAACACTTTTGTAACACAAGGGATGAATAGACTAAAATATACTCTAACATGCTATGCACTAAGTATAAGCGTATTAGGTAATATTATATCGAATATGGCTTATATATATGTAATATACATAGTTACGCTGTACTATGCACTAAGTATAAGCGTATTAGGTAATATTATATCGAATATGGCTTATATATATGTAATATATATAGTTACGCTGTACTTGCACTAAGTATAAGCGTATTAGGTATATATATCGAATATGGTTATATATATGAAATATATATAGTTACGCTGTACTATGCACTGTATAAGCGTATTAGGTAATATTATATCAAATATGGCTTATATATATGTAATATATATAGTTACGCTGTACTATGCATGTGACGACCCGACCCGTCGTCTCATGTCTTATTGCTCCGTTTTCCCCATTTCATGCTTCTTCATGTTTCGTTATCGGTATGTGGTGTGTTAGAGTTGATTTGGATTGGTTTTGATAAGAAATAGACACTTAGTCTCTTAAGGAAAGCTTAAGTGGAAAAGTCAACCGAATGTTGACTATTGAGTTAGAGGGCTCGGATGTGATTTTCGGTGATTCGGTTAGCTTTGGGGGATGATTTGTGACTTAGGAGTGCGATCGGAATTGATTTTGGAGGTCCGGTGTAGAATTAGGCTTGAATTGGCGAAGTTAGTATTTTGGCGAATTCCGGTTGATAGGTGAGATTTTGATCCGAGGGTCGGAATGGAATTCCGAGAGTTGCTGTAGCTTCGATATGTGATTTGTGATGTGTGTGCAAAATTTCAGGTCATTCGGACGTC